TCTTTTAGAAGTGTTTTCTATTGGTATTGATCAGGTGTCACAGTACATATTGTCACTGTTTTATTACCACTGTTTTATTGTCACTGTTTTATTACAGCTCTAGCAGAAGGGATGTGTGGTCGCTCTTTAATCTCTGACCATGTCTGATGCACCTCCCCAGAACTCCTAACTGGGCTGCTACAACATCCTCTAAAAACTGTGGTATCCTGGCACTGTGCATAACCTTTCCTTCCACTCATTTTTATTTAAAAGTGACCTCCTCACGGTCACTTTATAGGCCAATATACACAATTCTGAATCCAATAACCCTATTTCCCCTCATTTATTTACCTGTCTAATATTCAAATGTTGTAAAAAAACAGATTATGAGTCTTCTTTTTTGCTACAAGCTTTGTTATAAAGAAAAATAAATATTTTAAAAGCAAATATAACTTGACATAATGAATCTATAGATATTCCTTTTGGAACTAATAACATTTTAAAATGTTACTCTGATTTACAGAGAGGCAGACATACATATACAAACTCTTAAAGCTCTTAAAATTTGGTTTGACCTGACTGCTGTAGTGTTTATACTTTGTTGGGTAATATTTCAGTTGGTTTCTTTTAAATGTGGGTGGAATTTCAAGTTACTCAGTTGTAAGGTCCTTTTTAAAAATAAAAACACCTCAAAAGGAGTTCAATTTAGGAGCTTTTTTCTTTTATAGCTATGTGTATATATATATTTAGTAATTGATTAATCGTTAACTGGAGTGTCCTCTAAAGTATGCTTTCAGTTGCGAGAGTGACCTACTTTAGAGCAGTAAATATACCAGACTTGTAGAACAATATAGGAATATTTTTATCTACAAGAAAAAAAAAAAAAAGGATTTTTGTCTATCTAAATGTTCTAGCCAGAACTCTTCAAGTGTGAAACTTGTAGTTTCACCTGGTTTAAATTCTGTAAAAAAAATCTTTTGAAGGTAACATTTTGCTGTCTGATTATTAATCGCAAAAACAAATATTAACGCTTTAAACAAATGCTAAAAGAAGTCGGATAAAACTTTCTAATGGGATGGTGGAATCTATAGCAGACTTCTGATGTTGTCGATGTGGAGGTTCACACATCTATAAGGAGAAAAAGGCCATGCAAGTTTAGCTTTCACTGGAGGTATGTTAGGAAAGATGGGCCTAAAATGTAAATATTTGAACCAAAACAGAAATTGACTATGGCATCCCAAGAAAAGAACCTTAGCACAAAATTAAAGAATGGAGGTGGAAGTTTCATAGCCTGGGTGCCATTCCGAACTTAGTCCCGCCCACAACGTTTGAGGTCGGGAAGTTCGGTCTGGCATTGCTTAGTAGTAGCGCGAGTATGCTCACACAATATCTGGCGGGCCAATCAAATTGTCAGGGCGGGCTTTATATGATGATGGACAGATGATCAACAGTAATGTAATCAACCACGTGACCAAAGCGCGCATCGGTGACAACAATGGCTGCCGCTGGAGAGTTGAGGTGAGTAGATTCTGCTATTAGGTCTGTTCTAGAAGATATCGACAGCAAATTAATTTTAAAAGAGGAACAGAAAAACGCGATCAAGGCTCATCTTCTTATTCTAGGCGTGCCACTGCACGCTTTGATTTTTGTTGACAACAACCGTGCCTGGCTTAACATACGTCACGCACTCCGTTGCTCTTATTGGTCGTAGGTCTATCCAATTGAGTGCAGAGGCATTTTTTTTCCTGGTTCGTTCGAAACACGCCCCATAATCACAGCTCTATGGAGCAGTATCAGACTCATATTCTGACTAGAATTGAGTAGGACTACGTCAGGCTAGAAGTTTCATGGTTTTTGGGCCTAGTTTGGTTCAGAAGGACCCGATAGACTCAAC